TGGTGGGATTGAGGAGGTCTTCAAAGTATTCCGCCCACCGGCACACAACGTCACGAGTTGAGGTCAGCAACACACCATCCCCACCATAAACAGTGTTGGTGCTGCACTGCTTCCCCCTCCTGAGAYGCCGGATGGTGGACCAGAATAGCCTCGAAGCCGTGTGGAAGTCTTTCTCCATGGCCTCTCCAAACTCCTCCCACGCCYGGGTTTTTGCCTCAGCGACCACCCGAGCCGCATGCCGCTTCGCCCGCCGGTACCCATCAGCTGCTTCTGGAGTTCCATAGGCCAAAAAGGCCCGATAGGACTCCTTCTTCAGCTTGACAGCATCCCTCACCGAAGGTGTCCACCATCGGGTTCGGGGGTTGCCGCTGCGACAGGCACCAACAACCTTGTGGCCGCAGCTCCGATAAGCCGCCTCRCCAATGGAGGTACGRAACATGGTCCATTCAGACTCAATGTCCCCCACCTCCCCCAGAATGTGTTCGAAGTTCTGCCGGAGATGGGAGTTGAAGCTCCGTCTCACAGGGGACTCCGCCAGATGTTCCCAGCAGACCCGACCCTCACTACACGTTTGGGCCTGCCAGGTCTGACCGGCTTCCTCCCCCACCACCGGAGCCAACTCACCACCAGGTAGTGGTCAGTTGACAGCTCCGCCCCTCTCTTCACCCGAGTGTCCAAGACATATGGCCGCAGATCCGATGAAACGACGACAAAATCGATCATCGAACTGYGGCCTAGGGTGTCCTGGTGCCAAGTGCACATATGGACACCCTTATGCCTGAACATAGAGTTCGTGATGGACAATCCGTGACGAGCACAGAAGTCCAACAACAGAACACCACTCGAGTTCAGAAAGATCACATCATTGTCTCAATGATTCCAATCTAAAAACTAAAGATAGCAGTCTTTGGAGAAATGCATTTTTGCTCACTTCCATCTTTTTATGAGTGACAGTAAGACCATATGTACAACAACATCACCCATGACTGAGTAAGAGACTTTTTTGCATAATTTTGATTCGCTGTGGCAGCCATCTTGAATCGGATACATTCCAAAAGTTAATTGGTTGTAGGTGTACATCCTGGGGTCACTTTGTGATTATTGTGTAACTTTTATTTTCAGCTTCAGAGGAGGACTAGACGTGTGTCACGGCCAGACAGGAAGTGAAGCGGTCTTCACTTCCTTTCGTGGAAGAGAAGTCATGTTCCACGTTGTAACTAAGCTGCCTTACACTGAGGGTGATGCGCAGCAGGTCAGAGAGCAGTCTCACAGTCAGTGGTGACGCGGAGACATGAAACACATGAAACATTATTTTCAGACATTTTCTCTGAAAAAAACAAACAAACAATAGTTTTCTAAACAAAGACAAACGATCCTTTCTCCTCTCATCTCCTCAGTTACAAAGAAAGCGACACATTGGGAATGACATTGTAGCCTTGGTGTACCAGGAGGGCCAAACTCCCTTTCTATGTGACCTCATCAAGTCTCACTTCCTGCACTGTTTTCTGGTGGTGCGGAGGGTTCAGAGGGACGAGGGGGCAGGTGGGGTGGCCTATAAGGTGAGTAATACTCATCCTCTGTTTTATGAGGACAAACTAATGATAATGATGTGTGTGTGTGTGTGTGTGTGTGCGTGCGTGTGTGTGTGTGTGTGTGTGTGTATTTGTATGAATGTCCTGATGCATCTCTTTTTTTTATTTGTATGAAATTTACATTTGTACAAAAAAAGGTCTGAGATTACAGTTTTTCAACCTCAGTGTTAAAATATGAACCTGTTTTTTTTTTCTCTCAACCTCCCAGGTTTCAGTTTCAGCCAGAGAAGATGTTCCTCCTTTTGGTCCGGTCATTCCAGATCCTCCCATCTTTACAGATGTAAGAAACAAGATTTAAAGCTTTTCTAATTGTAATAAATCATTTAATTCTCTGTTATTTTCTTGTGCAAAGTTTAAACACAAAAAATCATTTGCTTTTCCCCCCTCCCACTTATTCTACATATATGCCATGCATCAGGATGATAAACAGTTTTCTTTGTCTTTTTTAGCGTTCACAACTGAGAGAATTCCTTCTCACCAAGATGATCAATGCAGAGATTTCCTGCTATAAGGCTGAGCAATTTAACAGACTGGAGGTAAAATGAGAAAATAATAACGCTTTAATATGTTTTTTATTACCAGCACAAGCCTGTTCTTGGTGTTATTTTCCTCTGACATGTGGATTTACTTGCCCTTGTCTCTTGTTTAGCTGCGTACTCGCTCATCACTCCTGGAGAGTTTGAGAAATGAACTCTTCACGCGCTCCCAGTGCATGATGGGAGATCCATCACTCGCTGCTGTCCCTACCTTGGAGGGTGTGCGGGCTGCACCTGAAGGAAGTGGAGGATTTATTGAAAATTTTAAGGTGAGGGCTCTAACACTGAAACACATCTGAATCCCATTTATTAGTTTTTTATTACTTTTCCCCTCTTTCCTGAACTTGTCCATTAGAGAGCCATAAGAGTACGAAGCCATTCGTTTGAGAACCTGGGTGTACCCAGAAAGATCTCTGGCAACATGTCACACAAGCCTAAGGTACAAAGGTCAGATTTTGGCTAAATAACTTTTAATTTAGAATAAAACATTCATACTTTTTTCTTCTTTTTACAGACAGAGAAAGAGGGAGAGAGGTGAGACTAGAAACAACTGAAATATTTGATATTTTTGTGATCTGACAAGGAAACTAATGATTATTTGTTTCTTTTTTCAGTGACAAATCTTCAGGACTTCCACCTGACAGCTCAACAACATCTGACCTCAAAGATCAAGCGAGTCCTCAAGAGGAGACATAAAGAAAATTGTGACTTAAAGATTTCAGACATTCAATTATAGATTAGCCTCTACAATCTGAGTTGCAGTGGATCAAATATTTGTACATATAGTGTAAAAGTAAATAGGTTTTCAGAAAAATGTAATTATTTTGCAAACATAGAAGAGATATTTTAGCATACAGAGAACATTTGAATTGTATTAGACTGATAACTTGATGCAACAACTAACAAGAAAGATTAGGGAATGTAAACAGTTTATATTCAGTTTTGCTTTAGAGATTAAGTTAGATTCAGGCAAAAAAAAATCTTAAAAAAGGAAGATTTTTGTTTTAGGGTTTAATTATTAAATCATGACATAATAAAGGAGTTTGGCGATTTGGAAAACATTCCATTGTATTAGTTATTTAAAGCACCCACAATACAAGTTATAAAAAGACCATAGCAGCAACACAAACAGTAATACATACTGATACTGTACCTACAGGTTATTAAAGAGGTACTTGCAAGACACTACACAGGTATTTGTGTGATAGTAGTAAGACAGGGTAAATGTGGGGATGCATGGTAATTACAATTCTGGGATGGGTATGTACAGGGTAACTACAGAGTCCTCATGTTAGTAAGTAATTTGGACTTAAAATTAAAAATACCTAATTATAGTTCCCAAACAATGAAAACACTCACTTATAATGTTAGAAAAAGACATTTAAAAAATCACAGAAGTCAAAGTTGTATCTCAACAAGAATATATGGGTAATGTAAATTACATTTCACTGAGTTTTTTCCCTTGTTTGTCAATGTCAAAATTATTGATGACACTTTATTTTATTTTAATTTTATGGGGTTACAGAAAAACATATGGCTTTTTTTAAAGAACAGGAAACATGGAGACAACATGGATTTGCAAAACAACCACGTTAACGTCTTGTTTGTTGTCATATTATTTATTGATTTTTATATTTTATAAGATTTCACTTTGTTTTGTTGTTGTTTTATAAAATGTATGTGTGTTTATGTTGTAGTCTGACTATTTTCTAAATAGTAGTATTGATCTCTAAAATATTTTTTTTTCTGTAATGTTTTTATTTCAGTGAGGATAAAACATGGATTGTGTACACACTTTCATCCAGTGGGTGGCAGTATTGTATAAAGCATTCATTCAAGTCTGAAGGCATTTTAGTAAAGACAGTTTTGTATATTAAATATATGTAAGAATTAAAGAAGTTCAGTAACCTTTTTTTATTTTGCTAAAATAAATAACAGAGTTGATCAAAGCATGAGACATTTTATGAAAGCGTCTTATACATTTGGACAAATCTACCAGCTAGTGGCACTGTCGCGCACAAACGTAACTTCTCAACCGCTGACAAGTACGCGAAGAAGAAGTGAACGGAAGTGGTCAAAAGTCTGTAGTTTTTTATTATTATTTAAGAAAGAGCTTTGGGTATTTAATTTATTCTCAACATTTTTTTTTTAGGTCCGACCAATTTTCCACCAACTTAAAAAAAGTTACAGCTTTGTATGCACATWTTATCRCTGAAGATTTTTCCAAGTTACCTGTAAACATCACGTTTGGTTGCTCCACATGAGACCAGTTGAACTTTGACATATTTGGAAATGCTCCAGGCTGCTTGAGGAGAAAGGCAGGCTGTCATTGGCTCTGATATTACTCGATTTAACTCCTTTAAGCGTAAAACCGTCCAGCTGAACACCAGCGACCTGCTAACGATGAGCTCCAGGAAAGTGGTCGAGCTGTTCTATGATGTGGTCTCKCCGTACTCCTGGCTCGGCTTTGAGGTTTGTCTCCTGTCAGCTTAAACAGTTATTTTACAGTGTTTCATTCCCCCCTCCTCAACACTCAGTTGTGTTTACAGGTCATGTGTCGCTACAGAAATGTGTGGAACATTGACCTGAAGCTGCGTCCTGCGTTCCTGGGAGGCATCATGCAGGAATCAGGTGAATAAACAGGATGTGTTTGTCTTTCAGGGGTTTGCAGGCATATTTGCAGGTCSGTGTTATTATCCTTGTGGACTTTGACTGAGGTGTAATGTGTTCATGACAGGCAACAAGCCTCCTGGTCTGGTTCCGAACAAGTTTCTGTACATGACCAAAGATCTGGACCGCTTGGCGAAATATTTTGATGTCCCTCTTCGGCCGCCGTCAGATGTGTTTGAGGTCATGTTTAAAAAAGGTACAAYAAGGTTACTAAAACAAAGAGCTAAATGCTGGAAAATCATCCACTGCTAAACACATTTCTTTGTAGATTCACCAAGATTTTTGTTAAACTTTATTTATCCTTTTACCAGTTAACAACATCTTTAAATTTATTGTTGTGAAACTGTTTATCAAGAGTAAATAGTTCTAGTGCTGGGTATTTCAGTATTTCCATAGTTGGACAGTAATCCTGTTYTGTTGTTCTTTTAGGTTCCTTGTCTGCGATGCGTCTTGTGACAGCCGTGCAGCAGCAGGAGAAAGGTGGAGACAAGCAGGTGGAGCAGGTTTCACGTGAGCTGTGGAGGCGGATCTGGAGTGAAGACAAAGACATCGCTGAGCCTGCATCACTCGCTGAGGTTAAAATCTTTTTTTTTACACACAGGATGCATTTCAGCACATTMAAAATGATGATTTATTCTTGAATCTTTGGTCACAGGCTGCAAAGAGAGCAGGACTGTCTGACAGTCAGATTCAGGAAGTCCTGAAGTTGTCCWCCTCACAGGAAGTTAAAGAGAAGCTTAAAAACACGACCCAGGATGCATTGAAATACGGAGTTAGTTGTGCTTAATTTCTGCTCGTAGTATTCAATAAAGAAATAGAAAAGTRAAAAAAAAAMCTCYTTCTGACTCTCTTCCAGGCATTTGGCTTCCCTATGCTGGTGTGTCACATCGACGGGCAGCCAGAGATGTTCTTTGGATCGGACAGATTCGAGCTCATGGCCCACTGCCTCGGTGAGAAATACAGCCCTCATCTTTTATCAGTAAAATATTTAACTTCTCTTGTTGTTTGCTTCTTTCTTAACTGGATCAGAAGGCTTCACATTTATTTTACTGTAGGACATTTTGCAGCTGAATTTGCATGAACAACTAAATAAATGTTCAGTGATTTAATAAAAACTGCTAAGGTAGCAAAAACTGAGTTCTTAAAGCTAAAACACAAAGCACTCGTTAAAAGTTTTAACAAGCACAACGTTAGAGGAAAGATGAAAGTAGCAAAATTCTAGCTAAAAAATGCAAATGGCAACCCAAAGCTAAATTTAGCTAATGGCTAGTTAAAAACTAAAAATAGCAAATGGCAAGCTGAAGGATATAATTAACAAAATGATAGCTAAAAGCAAAAAGTAAATATCAAAAGTGTGCATATTTGCTACATCATAGGACCCATTTTCCAGACAAACACAGTCCTGTGAGGATCAAACGCTTCCCATGGGGACCAATGCCTGATCCCCACTGGTATGGATGCAGTTTTGGGATGGGTGGGTGGGTGGGGTAGATTTAGAATCAAGGTGGGAATTGAGTTTAGGCTAGGTTTAGGGTCAGCTATGCATCTATGAGGTTAGGTTGTAGGGGGTAGGGCTTAAGGTGAATTAAGCTTTTCCCACATCTCTCATAAACAAGGTTATGGGAAAGTTTTACCAAGGTATTTTCTCATTACTTTTAATTTCTTGACCGTGCGAAGTGAAAAGTGACACAATAAGTGAACATTCAGACGAGTTCAAGTTGATTCATAAAAGACTATGCAATCATTTATTTACACAAATTTAACAGATCATCAATACACCTGATTGTGGTTATTCCTATAACAAGCTTCGAAGTTAAATGAGAGAAAAACTCGCGTCCAAATTTTAATTCACATCAAACTCAGATTGCTTATATAGAACAGTAAAACGTCAGTTCTGATGTTACAACCAAGCAATTTTACTGACACTTTTAGCTTAAGTTGTGGCAAATAAAGACAAAGGAAAGGCGGAAAGTAAGGTTAGTGTTATACTAATTTTACTTTATCAAGAGTGTAGCCATCCGGATCAGCACGTCCCTTCTGCACTCAGTTTCCACATGACACGTCACCCTGAACACGCTCAGCTTTTACCTGGTGATGTCTTCTTAAGCACCCCTGGGTAGACACTGTCTCACCTCCGATCATTCAGGGGACTTTTAATCGGCCCGCTCACTGTTCCTCAGCGAGAAAGGTGTTATTTCAGGTAACTTTTCGTCTGTTTCAGTCCAAGCCAGAAAGATTCAAGCTGTACATCCGGTGCCGCCTCTCAAAATAAAATCTCCCCTCGGGAGTTAAAACACACTTTGAGACTTGCAGTCTCGGGTGGGACATTCGGCAGCGTGCCGCTGTCCCGGCCGTTAGATCCCCCTAATTAGCTCATGGGCAAGACCTAACGAGCCAAAACTGGCTTCTCCGGAGAGAAACTCAGTATTCCTTCCTAGTTTGACATCCAGGAAGAAGTGTGCGTCACTCAAACACGTCCAGTTTAGTAATAGAAACTGATGAACTTTGGTTCCGCCCTCAGGCGTTAAGATGAGTCAGAGAAAAGGAAGAAAGATAGAGACTTGCCAGCCATGCGCCAGTCAAGGTTAATTCTGTGGTTGTTCACAACAGAATATAACATTTCTTTAGCTTTCCTCCAGATAGACTCTAAGAGAAATCACTGCAAAACATTAATGATGATTAATTAACATTTCTGTTTTAATCAGTCTGAACCATTCTGTTAGTCCAGATAAATGAAAGATTTTCTCAAGAAAAACCCACAATTATATTACTGTGTTCACAGTAAAATAAAAACAGTGATTTATATAAAAACACAGTGAAAACATGGTAATGATTTTCTCTGATTTTTTTATACCATTAATTAATCTTTTAGGCACGATAAAAGAGTAGAAGTGATTCCACTTTTCTTGTGACAGTCATTATCATGATTTAACAAAGGCATAAACATTCTTAGTTAAACAACAAATGAATCACGAACAGAAAAGATTGTTCTGTCCATTATCTGATTATGAGAACCGAGGGGTTCTCTTCTGGGTTGAAATGACCTGTCATGGCCTAAATAGAGTTCAGTTTGTGACAGAGTTCCTGCCTTCTCAGTAGGCCTGTCCGAGGCCTGCTTCGAGGCAGTACATCTTGTTTCTTCACTCGAGGTGACCCCTACAAGGTTTAGGTTAAAAAGTCAGGTTTAGGCTATAAAGAAATGACTTGAAAATTAATGGAAATCAATGCAAAGTCCCCATGAGTATAGATAAAAGTGTGTGTGTGTGTGTGTGTGTGTTACACAGGCGTTCACAGTCTGTTTGGAAAAACAAACTTCATGAGTAGAGATTAATCTTCAGCCTGACTTTGCTTTGTTTCAGGGGAGAAGTGGTCCGGACCCAGACCGGATTCTTCAGCTGCCAAACTGTGAGATGAGAACCGTCCGCAGGTCTTCTTCTTCTCACACACTGAAATGTTCAAAAAATATTTTTTTATTTTTGAAAACATTTCAACCTTCATAAATCCTCAGCTGTGSCTTTTGAAATCAAGCAGTTGGATTTCAGTAAACATAAATAACAACCAGGTGAAGCAGGTGGTTAGATCAATAGAGCACTTATCTGCTTTGGAAAATAATAAGTATTAAAATCACAACTATTCTTCAAATGAGATATTTTCTGGAAGTTTAATGTACAAAACAATGGTTATGTAGTTTAATGTGTAACATGAATTTAATCCAACTGATTGTGAATCAAATGTTTGTGCAGATTTTACTGAATTTGAGATAATTTCATATTTTTAGATTTATGKTTTTTATGTATTTGTTGAAGTTGTTAGTTTTAAATCCAGAAAACAAACATTTCTGGACTCAACAGTAGAATTATGAGGCTTTGTTGYGTGACAGCTAAAAACTGCTTCTTGTGATTCTAATAAAAACAATGATTTATGAATAAATAGCTTCAGATGCTCCTATTATTACCATTGATCTTGGGTTAAGGTTTCAGTTTTGTTAATGCTCAATATTTTTCACCGAGATGAGAAATTTGTAATGAAAAAAGTAAGAAGAACACGTTTTTGTCTTAAAATTATCCATAAATAAACCTGAGTGGAAATAAGTAGGTAAATCAGTTCATATTAGCAGTTTACCATGAAAATAACATTTGTTTTGTTTTGTTTTACTTTTTTAAATAGAAAAAAAAATCAATTAATTAAATTTTTATTTTTATTAACAAATTCCCACACTTCAGAATGCATCTATTTTATAT